TTTTCAATTATAAAAGAAAGTATTATATATTATTAAAATATATGCAAATTTATTTTAAAAACTATTTAATAACTAATACATTTTATTTTTTTATTAAACTCTTTAGCTAATTTTTATGAATTCAAAAAGATAAATGTAAATATCTTTCTTACAAATATATTTAAAAGCTTATATTTTTTAAAAATACAAACTAATTCAATAAAAAATATTATATTTACAAATTCAGAAACTATTAATAAAACTAAATAAGTCTTTCAAAAAAACTGCTGATCTAATAACTTTGATACAATAATAATAATAATTTTATTAATAATAATATAACATTACTTAAAAAGACAATTGATGAATTAAAAATAAGTTAAGAAAACATATTAAATAAAATGAATAAAATAATGTTTAAACTATAAATTTATATGAATAAATAACAAAATAATTTGTAAGTTACAACCAAATCTCATAAATTAATAAAATTTAAATCTATTGATAATTTACTTGCAGTAAATTCAGGATCAGAAAATTTAAATGACAAAAATAATAATATTAAAACAAATATATATAAATCAACTACTACTTTAGTTGCTTTAATTCAAAGTAAAATGAAACAAATAAGTAAATTAAAAATTCAAATAATTTAATTGAAAAGGAATTTGCTTTTGATTATATTAAACTTTTTATTTATAAAACTAATCAAAAAACTCTTGAAGTATATTTATTATTTTATATAAGAGAATATAAATCATAAAAGAAAAATTTAATAAATATAAATATTTAATATTAATTTATTATTTCTAATTTTTTTAGAAAAAAGTAAAATATTGATAAAAAATCAATTTGTTAAATTTATTATACTTATTTTAGAATAAGACAATATGTTTTTTAAAATTTTACCTGAGAAATTGAAGGTTAAGAAAATTAATAGTCACTATAATAATAAAATATTAAAAGTCTTTATATTACAAAATTTTAAAGATAAAAATCAATATATTAATATAATATTTAATATTTTTAAATTTATAGAAATTTAAATACAAAAAGATATTATCAATATATTTAATGTAGATATATTAGAATACTAAAATTAGTGAAGATGAGACTACAGTTCTGATGATAATTAATCAATAGTAGAAGAAACATATTTTATTCCTTCTATTTCTTGATATAGTAATAAAGTATTATGAATGGGTAAATATGACACAACTTATGTGGTGTAGAAGATCGACTAATTTAACATAAATAATATATATGATATGTCAGATATATGTGATATAACTGACATATTAAACCTAGTTAACATATTCGACATAATTGATACAGTAGCGATCATAAGTATCTGACTGTTCGAGATCGTCTAAAATTATTATATAACTACCCCTTAAATTTTCCAAAAATATAATGTAATACAATACATGATTACCTGTAAATTTATAAGTATCAATAATACAAAAAAAAATTTAGATGATCATCAAACTTTTGCTTAAAAAATGGAACTTTCTTTAGAGAAACAATATGAATTATCTTTTTACGTGAGCATCCAGCTGGTCTAAAATTTAGTTTTAAATTTATTGCTAAACAAGTACGTTATAGTAAGTCTATAGCTATTTATTGGGTTAAAAAATATCATAAAAATTAGGACTTAAGTACTTTAGAAAGACTAGGGTGGCCTTGTATAATATCTGCAAAATAAAATGATAAGATTGTAAAGATGGCAGAGAAAGAACATAATATAACAACCATTCAAATATAAGAAAAAATAGAAGAAAGAGGTGTTGGGCTTAGTGTAAAAACAGTAAGGTAATATTTTCATAAGTCTGGAGGAAAGTTTAGTAATGAAATTTCTAAATCTTTGCTTAAAGAAGACCATCAAAAAAAAGGTTGCAATGAGTAAAAAAACATAAGAATTTTGATTGAAATCGAGTTATTTTTACAGATGAGAGTACATTTTAATTATATACATCAAAAAAAAGGTTTGGCAGTTTCCTGATAGAAAAAAATGTTTCGTTCTATTAAGCATCCATTAAAAGTTCATGTTTGGAGATATTTTTCTACTTTTGGATTTAGTAAGCTATTTTGCTTTCAGAGGAATCTTAATGCTGAATTTATGTATACTATTTATAAGTAAGGTCTTCTGGCTTCCACCTTTAAACTTTTTGGTGAAGGTAACATAGATTGGATCTTGCAAGAAGATAATGATCTAAAGTATCGATCAAAAATCGTGAAAAAATAGAAGGAAGAAAATGGCATTGATGACTATCAATATCTTCAGACCAAAACCTTATAGAAAATGTTTGAAGGTTAATGAAAATTAATATACAAAAAAAAATTCAATTAATTAGAGGTTAAAGGGGAAATTACAAAAGAATAGAATTGATTATCACCTATACTTACTGCGAATTAGTAGCTAGCATAAAAAGACATACAGCTGCACTTATAGAGTCAGATGGTGACTACACAATGTATTAATTTTAGTTAGTGGGTTATGTATTTTTTAAATAAAAAAAAATTTTGAATTTACTTACTTGTAGCCAAAGTTAGAGGTGGTTGGATACTTATGACCGCTACTATATATTAAATATAGTTGATATAGTAAATATGTTAGTTATATTTTTCTATGTAAATTATTTTATATAAATAGATAGCTTTTATATTCATGTAAAAAGTAGACAGACAGAGACTCGACAAGTTAGTTTTTCAGTAATTTTAGAGGTAACTAGCCTATCACGTTACATTCTAGTTTTTAGTATCTTGTCTCTTTTTTTTTCTTTTCTATTTTCTTTATTTTTTTATTTTCTTTATTTCTATTATTTTACTTGTGAATAAATATATTATTTTATAAATATAACTTATTAACGATCTGTTGAATCTCTACTCATCATAATAGTATAAACACTTTTGATAATTAGTCTGAAGTAAAACTTGTGAATTGTTGAAAGATTACTGCTTCATTAAAAAGAATAAACTACTTGAATACTCCGTCTAATAGTTAAGTTCACAGGAATTACACATTAACATTTAGTGATGATGACAAGACTATCTTTTCCTAATTAGTATAATAATAATTCATGAGAAACACCCTATGAACAACTTTAGAAAATTAATTAAGTATCAACAAAATTATTCAGCTGTATACAATAAACAAGAGCGTAACTTTAGGAAAGCTACTGGAAATTTTACATTAACAGATGACCCATCTTGTATCACTTTTAACCCACCTCTAAGGAGATTTTCCAATCTTTTCTCAATTTCTTTGAGTAGGCCCAGAAAGTCTTAGGAGTACTATTATATACTAGCAAAAGTTTGGAAGCTTTTCAAACTGCAATTTTTATAGAAACTGATATATGAGAAGTATATTATATACAGATACTTAATACTTTTAGATATAAACAAATACCCATATTAACCCTTAAGCGAGCAGTCAAATATTATATTCGAGCTCAAATTGAAACTGAATTATTCCAAAAGAAATTTCAAGGCGATTACTCACTTACCTTAATATATCCCTTTTAAACCTGAGTTGTAATTCTTCTCTATCCAGAATGACCAACCCTCAAACAACTTGTAGAAGTAGTACTACATCTAAATCAGCAAAAAAAGATCCACCTTCTCAGGAAGGTTATCTACCTGATGAGACTATCATTGCGAACACTACTCCAAGTGGAAGAGATCCTAATAAATGAACTTTAAGCTTTGATAACTCTACCTTTAGTTCTCGTAGAGATACTGAAAAACTGTCTAAACTGACTTACACAGGACCCTCTTATAAGAAAGATGCAACCTCTGATCAAAAGAATGTTAGCCCTTTATGCTTCTCTAAACAGAAAACCAATCGTTCATAAGATCAATAAAAAAATAAAAAGTCGAAAGATAAGAGAACTAGTAAACAGAAGAACTATCAATCTACTGTATGTCTTACTATGATAATTTTTTGTCTTCTTCTAGTTTTGATTCTAATGACTATCATTTTGACGATAATGAGAATGAAGATCTATTCGACGAAAATACCACAAATAATCAAGATAAGTAAAACTTCTTTAGGATGATAAAAGGATTACAAACTGTCTTTAAAACTGTTGGATTTGAAGGATAACAAGAAGCAAAATTTGTTGATTTACCAACTTTTAAGAAAGGAGACCAGGATTCTCATGATTGGTTAAAAAGATATAACAATGCTGGAGATGTAAATAGAATTTCTGACAGATGACGTCTTACATTAGTTCCATCATTTTGAAAGGATCAGCTCTCACTTGGTACAATAAAACTAAGAATAAAAAAGATTTATAATATTGGAATAATTCAACTGATCGATAACATAAACATTGTTTCTTTATCTACCATTTCTTGAAATATTACTATACAATTCATCAAAAAACACAATAGTGTTCAACATTCAGATGATGTAAACAACATCCTAAACAGTCAATTAAAAATTATGCTGCCAATGTTAAATCATTGTACTTTAAATTGGACTCTGATTATAATATACCAGAAGATGAAAAAATTGAACAATTTTTACAGAGCTTCGTCTAGAATTTTATACTGCTATTGCTGCTGCTGCACCTGTGACTTAAAAGAAACAATTGATCAAGCACAAGCTATTAAAGCAGTATTATCTAAGAATAGCATGCTTTCTGGGTATTCTTTAAGTAAAGTATATCTGAACCAAAAGGATGATGACGCTATTAAAGATTTTACTGCTACTTCTAACTTATTGATTGAAATAATGACAAGTTGATAAAAAAATTTAAGTAATTATTAACTACCTCAAATACTACGCCACGCTTCCAAAACACTAATCCACACCCAGCCAATACAAATAATAACTGGAGGAATAATAATGCTAACAATAATAATCAAAACAACCAAAGCTATTATAATTGTAGACGACCTGATCATATCGCTAGGAATTTTAGACAAAGAAATAATCCAGGAAGTCTGAATAATAATGGGAATAATCAATACAATTTGAACAATAGGTCTACTACAGAAATTACTTGTCATAGTTATCACCAAAAGAAACATATTACTAGAAACTGTAATAATCCACTAAGAGGACCTTGCCCATACTGTAGATAATTTAGACATTAGGGATATATATACCTAATTAAGAATATAAATAATCCTGTTAAAAATACTGGAAGAAATGTTAATACGCTAAATGGCTTTAATACTGAACAACATGCTGCACTATCTCAAACAACATCAATATATAATACAGGTGTTACTCTATTACCACAAACCTTTATAACCTTTCCTATCCCAAACCTACCACCAGCAAACATCCAGAATATGTTTGTCTCTTCGTCTCACCAATGAAAAAATAAATCCCTCAAAATTACCAAGAGTTGTAGAAGCAGTTTATTGTAATGCTACCGTTGACAACAAACTAATATATTTAATTTTAGATTCATGATCAGTTAGAAGTATAATGTTTAAATCCTTTCTACAACAATTAGGACGAAAAATCAAATTAGCTTATACTATTACGATAATTAATATACAAGAAGGACAATCATGACCTTTAAGACGAGTTACTAATATTCCTTTACAAATAAATAGTATAGAGGTTCCTATCAATGTCGATATCACAGAATCAAATGATTACTACATAGTAGTCAGAAATGATTGGCTTACTAAATGTCAAGGACGACTTTATTGGAATTATCAAAAATTTATATTTATCTGAAATAATAAGAAATATCAGATACTGATGACCTATTGGAAGAAATCACAGTTTAATCATTTTCAACAATCCATCAATATTGTTAAAAACCCATCAGATGAAGAATATGAAAATAAAAAATTAATAGCTCAATGATATTATGTAGTATTAGAAGACTATAATAACTCTATTCCTTTAGTCAAAAGTAATCCAAAAATAATTTCAGTAGATGGACAGAAATATTCCTCCTAATACTTTGAAAGTTTAAATCACAAATTCAATATCCAATCACTTAAAGATGTTAAATGAAAATATCATTGGCAAAGACCAGGAAATCGATGTTAGTGCTATAATAAACTAGACAAAATTGACAATAATTGTTAATTTTGTAAGAAAGAATAGGATCATTAGCAACTATTGTGGAATATCCAGATGAACTACCACTTTGTAAAAAGACCTATAAACATCTTAATAGACCCCAACAGCAACAAATTACTCAATTTTTACGTAAAAATAGTGATGTATTCGCTGAGAATTTATTACAATTAGAGCATATAACGATTGAGATATATCATATACTAGTAGAAAATCTGATGTCTATATAACAGTATGCATACAGAGTAGCTTTCTTAGAATAAGAATTTATCAAAGATGAAGTTGGTAGAATGTTAAAATACAACTTGATACAACCCTTTGAAAGTCTTTAGGCCTCACCTGTTGTTCTTGTTCAAAAGAAGAATGGAAAACTTCAGTTTTGTATTGACTATAGAAAACTTAATAGTATTACTCAACAAAACGGACATCCCTTACCATATATCAATGAATTACTTGACATGTTTGGAAAAGCTAAATATTTTTCAACATTAGACTTGGATTGGTAGGTTGCTATGAATCCAAATGACCAAGCTAAAACAGCTTTCATAACTAGTCAAAGACTTTATGAATTTAAAGTAATGTCATTTGGATTAACATTAACAAATGCCCTGCAACTTTTCAACATTTAATGAATAAGATTTTTAGAAAAGAGATTGAACAGTTTGTAATTGTATATCTTAATAATATCATCATCTTTTCAGATACCTTTGACACATTTGTAACATTTACAGCTTATTTTTAAACGATTAAAAGATGCTAGACTCAAACTTGAAAAGGATAAATGCGAGTTTGCTAAATTAGAATTAGTATTTCTGGAACATATCATAAGCGAATAAGGAATTTCACCAGACCTCTCTAAAATTGACAAAATTAAGAATTTTCTAATCCCAAAGAACATCACTGAGTTACGAGAATTTCTAGGACTAGCATCGTATTATAAGAGATTTATTCAGAATTTCTTAACATCAGCAGTACTATTGCATTTATTATTATGAAAAGATATACTAGAGTTTGAATTCGAGTCAGAAAAGTTAACTCGAATCAAAGTCGAGTCAAGAAATTTTTGACTCAAAGAGTACTTGAGTTTGAAATTTGAGTCAGAACTCGAGTCAAACTCGAGTTAAAGTCATAATGCAGGCCAGAAAAGAACAATGCAGACCAAAAATTTTTGTAATTTGCGGCTGAACTAAAAGAAATTTTTAAAAAATTTTTATTCAATGTTCAATAATTATATAAATGTTAAATTATATTATGCTAATAAATGCAGCTTAAGAAAAAAATTACATGCTATTTATAAAATATAGAAAAAATTTGAAGTTGACTCAAGTAGATTTAAATCAAGTTAACTCAAATTCTAATTCAAATCAAGAAATTTTGACTTGAATCAGAATTTAACTCGAGTTGACTCAAGTTAAACAAATACGAATCCAGTCTCTAAAATATACCTTATGTTTGGATGGAACTACAATAAAAGGCTTTTGAGCATTTAAAAACATATTTAATAACTACATCAGTCCTGACTTATCCTGATTTCAAACGAAAGTTTTTACTCTTTATTAATGGTTCGTATATAGGCCTTAGTGTAGTATTAGTATAATTAGATAATAATAATAAGAAATATGTTATAGCTTATGCCAGTCAAAGTATAAGTCATGCTGAGTGAAATTATGCTCTAACTGAATTGGAATATCTTACCGTTGTATAGAAAATGAAACATTTTCGACCTTATTTGTTATATCAATAATTTGAACTAATTACTGACCATACAGCCTTACAATGGCTTTTTAATAAACCTAACCCTTCTCGTAAGTTTATGAGATGGATTATTCATATTATGAAATTCCCATAACAAATTCGATATAAAAAAGGAAAATTATATTCAAATGCTAACACATTATCCTGACTTCCCTTATAATAATCCACAACAATCATAACAAAAATCTGAGAGTAAAAGTGCAAGTATTAATAGTGTGACTAATAGCTCTACAATATGGAACTCAAAACCTACCACCAATTATACCAATACCTTACTCAATTCACATACCCCTTTCACAACAACATGCAATTCAAAAGCAAGCTCAACATTATTTCGTACAAAACCAACAACTTTATAGACGTAATTATAAGCATTCAACTCAACTATTGCTGGTAATCAAACCAATAAAGTTGAAAGTGTTCTATATAATATTTATAATGAACTTTAGGAAGACATTTAGCACGTGACATTACTTATAACAAAATCACCTCTCGATATTACTGGCCTAGTATGTATAAAATAATTAATAATTGAATACGAATATGTGATGTATGCCAATGACAAGGAAGACTAAAATCCAAAAAACTATTGCACTCTATACCTGTTGGATAACCGTTTGATCATATTAGAATAAATTATGTAGGATCACTTCTGAATAAAACAAAAGGGAATAGGTATATTATTGTAGTAACTGAATATCTGACAAAATGGATTGAAGCTAGTGCCATATCAGATTGCACCATTCAGACTACTGCACAGTTTATTTACAATGAAATTATATGTTGACACAGAACACCAAAAGAAATATTAACCAACTGAGCAACGTCATTCCAAAATGAATTAGTTACTGCTTTGTTACATATAGTAGGAACTAAACATAGATTATCTTTACAGTATTACCTTCAGATCAATGGCCTTACTAAACACTTTAATAGAATTTTATATACAATCTTAGCCAAGTACGCTAAACGATATTATGGAGAATGGGATATTTATTTGACATCAGCATTATTTGTATATTGAATCACTCAAAAGGAAATAACTAAATTTGAACTATTTGAGTTGTTATATGGACAAAAAGCAATTCTACTCATAGATTTATAACTATGACAACCTTCACCTATCACAAACTTATCAAATGCTATAAAAAAATATTAGCAGATAATCTCATCGCAATTGCAACAATGATACTTAGATGCACAACAAAATATTATGCAATGACAACAAAAACAACAAGAGCATTACAATAAGGATTGATCTGGAATTTCTTACCAAATTAGAGATAAAGTTTTATTATTTAATGTTACATAATCATACATTCATGGAGACAAATTTAAGGATAAATTCGATAGACCTTTTTATATTCACGATATTATGAGACTTGAAACTTATAAGCTTCATACAATAAATAGATAAGTTAGAAAGAACCCTATACATGCAGATCTTTTAAAGCCATATCTGAAATAAACTGAATGGGAACCTCAGATTATCATTGAATAATGATCGGCATTAAGATATTATAAAAGAGGCCTATGTCATTGTTATATTATTCAAATAAATAAAATTATAATAAAACCTACAAATTTTAAAATAGTTTTAAAAGAACTTCAAATTCTTATAACTGACTTTGTAGAAGAAATTCAACCTATGAAACCTCCATATCAGACTGATGTATCATTAGCTCAAAAAGTGCAGTCAACTTATCAAACTCTACTTCATTCTACCTATATAAGGAACTGTATTTTATCTCTTGTTAATGCTTTTTATTTAAGTTAACTTATTGATGATGTGACTATTTCACTGGCTCAATGAACGTTACAAATGATAATGATAACTAAACACTATTACCAAACTGCTATTTGAGTTTATCATCTCTTTGAAAATGTAGGAGTCCAACAAATCCTTGATACTCAATGTCTGATCTTGACCATGATTCAACGATTAAAGTCTAATGAATATCAAGCTCTCGTACTAGAAACGCTTGATATTTCTGTAAGAGCAAAAATCTTAAGTAGGGAGTAATGTGAATAGGTAAATGTGATACAGCTTATATAATACAAAAATTGACTAATTTGACATAAATGATAAATATGATATATCAGACATATGTAACATAACTGACATATTAAACATAATTGACATATTCGACATAACTAATATATTAAATATAGTTAATATAGTAAACATGTTAGTTATATTTTTCTATGTAAATTATTTTATATAAATAGATAGCTTTTTAGTTCATGTAAAAAGTAGACAGACAGAGACTTGACAAATTAGTTTTTTAGTAGTTTTAGAGGCAATTGGCTTATCACATTACATTCTAGTTTTTAGTATCTCGTCTCTTTTCTTTTCTTTTTTATTTTCTTTATTTCTTTTGTTTTCTTTATTTCTATTATTTTACTCATGAATAAATACATTATTTTACAAATATAACTTACTGACGATCTATTAAATCTCTAATCATCGTAATAGTATAAACGCTTTTG